ATGACTGGGCTAGCCTTGCTATCTAATTATGAGGAGTTATTTGGCTAAAGGTTTTCCACACTAACTCTTGAATCATAAATTTCTCCTACTTGAATTTTAAGATGTCATAAATGCTTAACCTATATCATCCACGTAAGATTGGGTGATACTAAGCAACATGCCTAACCCATGCCATTCTTAAAGTTTAATGGCAATACTAAGCCCATATAATAAATTACCAGGCCAACCATTATGCACAAACTTAGTGGAGGCTATACCATATGAATTTTTTCAATAATACTCTCTATTACTCTAAGGTGAACTCCTACCTATCATGATTATGCAAGTTCATTAAATTCATGCCAACATGTTCTTGATTCTCAACATCTCATGCAATCTCATATATATGGAATGCCAATTTATATAACTTAAGGACTTAGATACATTTCATTGTAACAATCATTATGCCTAATCATAAAATCAATATCTCACGAGAACATAATTATTACATAAGCACTTCAACTGATGAAACCAAGTGACTCATACAACCACCAAACGTAACTTTATTACTAAGAGTCAATTTTCAATACTCACATATCAACTAATAACGTATATGCACAAGCTCATGATTCTAACATCATACTATGCCATCAATAACAATATAATATTTCATAAGCAAGAACAATCATATGCTAAAATAAATGTTCGATTACCTCAACTCTTAGGTTTACCACCCTAAGAGTAAACTTTGGATTTCCCAAGGGATCTTTCCATTAAACAAGCTTAAAAACAATCACTCTACAATCAATAATCCTAAAACAACATTAATTAAATAATCATCATTCATTAATGCTTAATCATAATTAAGGCCTAATACCCTCATTAGGCACGATTAATCACAAGTAGCTCAAAAACTCACTTCCATTACCTTATTAACTTCTAATAAGCTTAATAGACATTGATAGTTAATTCCATTAACTTAAACTTGATTATTTAATGTTAAGGTTAACTCTAAACCCCTCATTAATTTCATTTAATGCTATCAAACACTAAGATTAGGCATAAGATACTTAAATAACCCTTATTTGACTTCAATAAAGTAATTAAAATGGCTGTAACAAGCTCTAATTTCGAACAACACTTACTCCCTAAAACCAAATTAGAAAAGAGATGCTTTAGAGGTAGAAAAGGAAGAAAGTAAGCTTACCTAATGATTTGGAAACTTTAAATAACTCCTAAAAGCCTCCATAATGAAACCCTAGCAAAGCTTTATCCTTCCTCTCAGTTCCTTACTAAAAAACCCTCTTTATCTGTATTCACGAACTGTAAACCCAAAATGAGTAGCTTCACTTGAACCCATTATTTTAGGCCTTAGATGGCCCAATAGCTCCCAAAGCCATATTCCAAACCTTTTATAGACCAAAAGGCCATCCAAACTCTAAATTAACTTCTAATTACAACAGTTAACTAATTAAACCTCTTAATTAATTAATCTAACCTTTTTTATTAAAATTTAGAATGTTACATGTTTCATTAATGAGAGATCAAAGTAATAATGATGGGTTTAAGCCTAGCCCCAATGCTACATAACTTGTATTAAGCTAGTAAAATTAGTTGACAGTGTTGGTTAAGCTTAGTGAAGGTTAAAAAAGTTAATGGAAGTTAGAAATGGAGTTATTTATAGCCAATACTATAGTGAGGGTATTAAAATTTGTTAATAAATACTGATTATTTGTTAATGATCTTCATTCGTTAATATGTAGATTGCTATTCTTAGAGCTTATAAGGTTGTTAGAAAGCTCCCTTAGAAATCTAAATTGTACTCTTGGGGTTGTAGCCCAAAGGTTAAGGTAACTGGAATTTAATTTGTCTATATGATTGTGTTTTAAAATTTATAAGTTGTTAAGTTTATGGCATGAGATATAAGGCATTGAGCTAAGCATGATCATTTGTATTAATTTATAAGTTGTTGTGGCAAGTTGTGTTAAATGATTATATACCTAATGACTTGACAAGCTTGAATTTGAAAACATAATGAGTTTAGTAGCTTACATTATGCTTGATAAAATAACTTGTTGACACAATGATTTAATTTAATTTAAAATAGCAATGCGT